TGTTTTGCATCAGAGAGCAGGACTAGGGATTATAGAAGGAGAATTAATGCCTTTGAGCTGTGGTGTTCGAGAAGAGTATTGAATATACCATGGACTGTTAATAGAATGGATAGTTTCATCCTGGAGAAGGTGAAACCAGGCTGCTCCTTGGAGGCAAGGATTCTGAAGCTTCGTCTGACATACTTTGGACATGTTGCAAAGGAGAACAAGTCCTTGGAGAGGGGTGTCATGCTTGGGAAGGTGGAGGGACAACGCAGGATAGGAAGACCCTCAATGAGATGGATTGATTCAGTGACTGGTGTAATGGGGATAGGTGTGTCAGAGACGAGATTGGCACAGGATACAGCAGGGTTTAGGGCTGTTGTACATAGGGTCGATATGAGTTGCAGGTGACTCATAACAATGACAACAACCACCACCACCACCATGGTATGTTCAAGACTCTTCTCCAGCACCACAACATGAAGGCATCAATTATTCTTCCGTCATCCTTAGTCGTTGTTCAGCTCTCTGATGCATAGCAAGTAATTGAGAAGTCCATAGCTTGTATTAGGTGCACCTTAGACTCTAGACTGACATCGTTACTTCTCAGCACTCTGAAGAGGTCCGTGACAGCAGATTGTCCCAATTTAATTTGCCTTTTTTTTCTTGACCACTTTTATATTCCTCTAATAGACCATACTTCTCTGAAGTAAAATAGCTGGGTGTAACAAAATAAGTGTGTGATATTAATTTGTCTTTTGATTTCCTGACTTCTGTTGCCAAGAATGTTGATTGTGGTGCCAAGCAAGCTGTAATTCTTAACAACCTTAATCTCCTCTCTATTTATTGTTTTTAATTCTTTACTCAGAATGTAATTAAGTAATGGGAAACAAATACTTATAATACTTCAGGCAAAATTAATCTTTTTTACAATTAATGGATACAATAAGTAGTCATGTACAGTTGAGTAGGAACTGATCCATAGCTGATTGGGCAGTAAATCCCGAGGGAGGAGATTACTCATCTTTCTCCTGTGGAATAGATACAATAATAGCCCTGTACCAATATAAAACTAAGGGACCTCTGGTGGCATAGTAGTGAAGAGATATGCTGCCAACCTGAATATATAAGGTTTGAATCCACTAGCTGCTCCACAGAAGAAAGATGGCAATTAATCTCTTATTGTCACCTATGAATTGGTTACAACTCTAAAGTGCACAACAAAAACAACAATGTAAAACTAACATTTAAAAAATAACACAAGCAGGGAGCAGAGAGGGGAACAGATGACTTTTCCTTCATCTAGCCAAGTATATCACTAATAACACAAGCAAGCAAGATCCTGCTGAAGATTATTAAAAAATGACTGGAACATCAGCAGAGAACTACCAGATGTGCAGGCTGGATTTAGAAGAGGTTGTGGCACTAGGAACATCATAGCCAACATTAGATGAATCCTGACCGAAAGCAGAGAGTACCAGAGGAATGTTTATCTGTGTTTCATTGACTATGCGAAGGCATTTGACTGTGTGGATCACAACAAATTGTAGGTATTGTTGAGAAGAATGGGAATTCTAGAACACCTAATTGTGCTTATGTGAAACCTATAACTGGTCCAGGAAGCAGTCATCAGAACAGAGCAGGGAAACACTGTATAGTTCAGGATCAGGAAAGGTGTGCATCAAGGATGCATCCCATCTCCTTATCTTTTCAGTCTATATGCTGAACAGATAATTCAGGAGGGTGAGTTTTTTGAGAAGGAATGTGGCATTAGGATTGGAGGAAGATTCAACAACAATCTGCGTTATACAGATGACATAATCTTGCTTGCTGAAACAGAAAAGGACATGAGGTGTTTGCTGCAGAAGGTCAAGTACTGTAGTCTTCAATATGGATTGAAGCTCCACATCAAGAAAACAAAGATTCTCACCATTGTCAACCTCATGATAGATAAAGAAGAGATTGAGATTATTGTTAACTTCAGCTTGCTTGGTTCCACAACCAACATTCTTGGCTCTAGCAGTCAGGAAATCAAAAGACTAATTGCATTGGGAAAGTCTGTTGTAGGAGACCTTTCTAGAGTACAGAAGAGCAATGATAACAGTCTGGAGATTAAGGTGCTCCTGATCCTGGCGATAGAGCTGGACAAAACCTAAGAATGATAGAAGAACCAATGCCTTGAGTTGGGGTAGTGGAGAAGAGTGTTGAACATACCATGGACTGCCAGGAGAACAAATAGGTCTGTCTTAGGATGAAACCAGGATGTTCCCTGGAGGCAAGGGTTTTGAAGCTTTGCCTCACATACTTTGGGCATGTGCCCAGGAAGGACCAGTTTTTGGAGAGGTACGTCATGCTTAGAAGGGTGGAAAGACAGAGTGCAGGAGAGGAAGACCCAGGATGAGATGGATTGACTCAGTGATTGGAGAAATGAGATTGGGTTTGTCAGAGATGATGAAATAAGCTCAGGTTAGGGCAGGTTTTAGAGTTAATGTACATAGGGATGCTATGTCGCAGGTGACTCGATGGCACATAACAGCTACAACAACAGCCAGGTATCTAAGGTGCACCTGATTCAGGTCATGGTTTTCTCAACCACCTGCTACAGAGAGCTGGACAATGAATAAGGATGACAGATGAAGAATTGATGCCTTTGAATTGTGGTGCTGGAGAAGATTACTAAATATCCCATGGACTGCCAAAAATATAGATATATCTTGGAAAAGTGCAGCCAGAATTTGGAGGCAAAGATGACAAAGCTTAGTCTTTCATACTTTGGACATGTAGCTGAGTTGCGCTATTCCTAGAAAAGGGGCATTATGCTTGAAAATATCAGTGAAGGAGAGCAAGACCCCCCCAGTGAGATGGACTGATACAGCCACTGCAGCAATAGGCTAGAGTGTGTCAGGGATGATAGGGATGGCACAGGACAGGGGAGGGTTCAGGTCAGCAATTCATAGATGGAAACTAACAACAAGAACAACAACAAGCCAAGCATCAAACTCCTTTGTGGCCCTTCCCCATAGCTTATGATCAACTGTCTCTGGAATATTGGTAAGACCTCACCAACTAGTTTGAGATATGGCCACGATCAGACCACCTTGACAAGATGTTAAAATTTTCTCTCATTCTGCTGTCCTGTCCTTTGCCTAGGTTAGCCTCTGAAATCTGCCAGCTCTCTTTGCGTCCTGTATACTATATAAGTAAAACTTCTCCTTGCCCCTTTCCAACCAGCCAAGATTGGTCTTGAAGCAAGTATCAGAACTAGGGCCTCTCGGTAACACGTTTCCAGTAATTCCCAAGTGATTGGTTCTGTTTAGTTTAAAATCTTAATTAAAACGTCACTATAGACCTCTCCAAAGTACTGAAGAGCAATGGTGTCTCTCTGGAGACTAAGGTGCGTCTGATACAGGCCGTGGTCTTTGCTATCACTTGTTATCAGAGAGTTGGACAATGACTAAGGAGGATAGAAGGAGAATTGATGCCTTTGAGCTGTGGTGCTGGAGAAGAGTATTGAGGGTACCATGGACTGCTAGGAAAACAAACAGATTCATCCTGGAGAGGGTTAAACCGGGCTGCTCCTTGGAGGCAAGGATTTTGAGGCTCCGTCTAACATACTTTGGACATGTTGTAAGGAGGGACAGGTCCTTGGAGAGGGACATCATGCTTGGGAGGGTGGACAGACAGCGCAAGAGGGGTAGGCCCTCTATGAAGTGGATTGATTCAGTGACTGGGGCAATTGGGATGGGAGTGTCAGAGACTGCGATTGGCACAAGCAGAGCAGAGTTTAGGGCTGTTGTACATAGGGTCACTATGAGTCTCAGGCGACTCGACGTCACATAACAACAACAAACAACAATAGAATGTTTGAATTTGGGTGTCATTTTTTTTTACCCCAGCAGCAGCATTAAGAATACCAAACTTTTAGTAAAGCTCCACACTTAACCTTTGTGTCACCAGGGCACTTGACATAGAGTTAGGACTATAAAAATAATGACAGAATTGTGTATTTATTTCTTCTCTAGATTCTGCTACAAGAGTTTGTTTCCTCGTTTTGAAATTTTTTGGTCTTTGACAAATAACAGGGTAGTAAATGTCTTTCCTCCTTTGGCCAAAAATCCTTTTGGATTATGCAACTCTGTGTTCTAGGAGGTTTGGTACTGGACCAAAGGGAATGTATCCCACCCGTCCCAGTTTATGCACAGTAAGTACCTACGTATTTACAAGTACACACTTGATTCCTCCACGCAGCTCCCTTCCGTTTTCTCACGGGTCGCGGTGTTGATTGACAGTCAGTCTAACCAATTAGCGTTAGGCGGCTGGCCGGGGAGGTTGGTTTTCTCGCTGGGCACGCGCAGGCCGTCCTTCTGTATACTCACGTGTGGGCCTCACGCTGGGAATGGTCCGGTTTCGTGCTTGGAACCAGGTGCGGGCTTTTTGCCTGCGGTGTTCAGCGGACCGTGAAGTGGCCAGGGTCGCAGGCTTTAGCACCAAGACCCGGTAATTACACCTTCCCGGGAGAAGCACTGAATGGGCGTGTACAGAATCTGGGGTGAGAGATGGGTTTTTCAACTGTGCTGAATGCACATTCAACTGTGCTGAATTCCCCTGAGCAAGTCACTCACCCTCTGAGTGCCTTCCACCCCCCCATCTGTAAAATGAGAGCGGGCCGATCTGAAGCTCCGCCCAGAAGTCTGAGGAGGTGGTGGGATTTGGGGAGAGGTGCGTGGAGGCAGGCAGCGTCACCCTGTTGCTTCTCCATCCTTTCCAGGCATGGATTACAACCTCCAGAGTCCAGTAGTAAAGAGTTGCGGCCCACCAAGGACCTTACATTTCCAGGGTCGCTGCGGATGGAGGACCTCAGTCGCGAGGAGCTGCTTAATGTGATCAAGGCAGCCGTGGTTGAGCAGGAAGGTGGGTGATCTGTTCCAGGGGGTTATTCATTATCTATTTTTTTTTCCTCTTAGGAGGGAAAGAACTGTCCTAAAGGAATATGTGATTAAGCATTATACGTATAACGACAATCTGGGAAAAACGGTGCATTGCAAAGTTGAATTGGGAGGAAAATATGCAAAATAAATGAACAAAGAAATTAGAAAAATGATCTAAATTTCTGTTTTAAAAACTGTATACTGGCCGTATAAGTGTAAAAGTGCATTTTTTAGTTCTATTAATTGATCCTTAAGTTGTATATGTGTATATTTTCAAAACAGTTTGTTCTATAAAAGGGATAAACAGTAAAAAAAGAAGAAAGAAATGTAGATGCGAGAGCTCGGTATGCAGAGACCCTGAAGGGAACCTGAAATCCCCTTTCCCTTTTCATGTAGTGGGAACGGGGTACTAGGATTTTGACATCAGTCATTTACTGTTTATTGCTAGATAAGGCATAGGCTTTCAAGTTAGGCACATTTAGGTAGGCTCTGTTCCATTTTATGATGTGGCTTTGAGCTCTGATGGCCTAGCAGTAATGAGTTGTGCTCCTATCCCAAAGACAAGTGGTTTGAATCCTCAAGCTGCTTTGTGGGAGAAAGATGGACAAAGCCTCCTTTGGTGAAATTTAGAGCTGAGGCTCAGCTATGAATTGATTGTGACTGGAAGAGCATTTAGCTTTAGGAAAATCACCCAATGCTCTAAGTCTTGGTGTCTGTATTAAGCCACTTACTTTCTTAACTACTGTTTTGAATCATCTGGTGACACTTGGTAGTGTGGTAAATTGCTTATCTAAAGGCTGCTTGTCTCTGCAGCTGGAATCCATCAGCTGCTCTACAAGAGGAAGATGAGCGCTTTCCTCCCATTAAGATTTACAGCCTTGCAAACAGATGGAGGGTCACAGACTTGAAATTAACTGTGTTCTTAGAATTTGCTGTGAGTGTTCAACAAGACGGATATAATTTCTGCCCTCAGGGAGCCAACTTTGGTTGGAAAAATGAATTAGCCAGAAAAAGACATGAATAAGTTACAAGGTAGTGATAAACTGAAACAAAAACCAAAACAAAATCTCATTGCTGTTGAGTCCATTTCAATCATAATAGACTTACAGGACAGAGTATAGCTTCCCCATAGGGTTTCTAAGGCTTTCCATCTTTACTAGAACAGATAGCCACATTTTCTCCCCGGAGTGGCTGGGGAGTTCCAACCATTGATGTGTTTGGTTAACCCAGAATTTAAGCCATGCACCATCGTGAAAGTGTTATGAATAAACTAAAGCAGTGTTAAGATGGTGAGGGGTTGGGGAATGGGACTTCATGCCTCTCTTTGGTGGTGACATTTGAGCCAAAATCAGTGCAGACATGTGAAAATCTAGAGTAGGGAAAATGACGAGTGCAGAGGTGCTGTGGTGGCCACAAACTTGGCATATTTAAAGACACAAAAAGTTTAGGATGGGGTTGATAACTCTTGAGTAAGAATTGTTGAGCTGTAAATGCTAACATAAGTGAGAATGTGCTTTGTAAATGAAGCTTTACACAAAAGTTAACTTGCTGTTGCTGATGTTCATGTAATTATTATTTGTTACAGGCTCTCTGGTGACAATTAACAAGCCTCAGGGGCTGCCAGTTACAGGTAAGGTAGAGGACATGGGAAAGGAATGCTGGGGAAAAGTGTTTACTATCTAAAGGGAAGCGAACAGTGACGAGAAAAGGATGATGGTATAAAACCCTGGAGAGAAAAGGATGATGGTATAAAACCCTGGCCTGTGGAGTGGCTTGTCCTTATGTCTCTTCTTTCTCAGGGAAGCCAGGAGACCTGACGCTACTCACAGTGCTGCCAGACCTAAGTCAGTCACTGGGGCTCAGGGATCAGGAGCTCCAGGTTGTCCGAGCACCTGCGAAGTGAGTAGAGGGGGAATGTTGTTATTAGGTACCATTGAGTCAAGTATGACCCGTAGCGATTCTATAAATTGCAGGGATGAATGGTGTCCTCTCCTGTGCCATCCTCATACTTCCTGACACTTGAGTCCCTTGTGGCAGTCACTGTCAGTCGACCTGGTTAAGGGTCTTCCTCTCCTTCACTGATCCTCTGCATTTCTAAAAATGATGTTTCTCTCCAAGGAATAGTTTTCCAGCATTGAAGCTTTGTGTATTACATGTTCCAATTATTAAAAGATGTTTGCACTGTTTTTCCTCATTATGATTTGACTTTCAATCTGGGCTGTACCTCTAATTCTATAACTATCCATGTTCTTCTACTGTTCATAGGGTTTTTAGAGAACTGCAATTTAAGAAGTGTATGGACAGTCATCTTTCCTAGTGTGTCTTAATCTGGGAGCTGTACTGTCCACCATGACGTGTGGCATTTAACACTCTTAGGATTGCTTTCAGCATCACAGCAACCCATAAATTAATCTCAGTACAGCAAACTGACAGACAAATGCTGGGCTAATTAAAACAATGAATTTCCTCAAATTATTGTTGAACCTCTAATACCAAATTAGGCATTCAAATAAATGTTACCAGATCCATTTGAAGCATGCACTGATGTGCCAGGAGAGTTGGAGGGTATTGAAACATTCCAGCTGAGACTCACAGCTGCTGTTGTGCTAGGATCACATTACAGATGTGGATATTCTGGTCACATGGAATTCTCTTCTGAATCTTTATTTTCTCCGTAATTTTCTATTTTAGTTGTGATTTTGATAAAAGTTTACAGAGAAATTGGATTTTCATTCATTCATTGTTACACATTTACCTCCCTCCCCTCTTCTAGTTCACTTTCATTCTTTTTTTTTTTTAATATTTACTGTTGTACACTTTCCTCCCTCCCTCTTTGCTCCTCCTCCCCCAGTCCTCTTTGCAATGTACCTCTTAATATGGACTGTTGCTTGCTTATAATACCTAATCATATATTCCTTTAAAATAGTTCTCTTCCTAATCTGTTCCAATATAGTGTTCATTATCCATTCTTTTCCTGTTCTCTTTCCAGCTACCCATGCCAGTCCTGCTTCGTAACAGTGTGTTATGCAGTATTTGCCCTTATGAGATTGAGACATTTCACTCTGTATTGTGTCCTCCAGGGTCACTCATGTTGTGTAATGTTTTACAAGATCATTATTTTTCAGGGCTGCATAGTATTCCACTATGTAACTGTCCTATAGTTTACTATCCATTTGTTGATGGGCACTTGGGTTACTTCCATCTCTTTTGCTGTTGTGAATAATGCAGCAATAAAAATGAGTGTGCATACATCTGTTTGGATGACAGTTCTGGTTTCTTTAGAGTATATTGTCAGTAGTGCAATTGCTGGGTCAAATGGTGTTTATATTTCCAGCATTTTGAGAAAGTGCCAAAATGCCTTTCTTTCTTTTTTTTTTTTAAATTT